TTGTCTTTCCCTAACCTGCTAAATTGTGAAATTCGGTAGATGCCAAAACCTTAACTGGGCAGGCTGGTGCTCTCACTTAGCTCGGTAAATGGCAGAGGAAAATGTTTCTAGTCCATAATACCCAGATAAAACAGTTGAAAAGGCCACAACTTTCCTAAATGATCAGGTGTGCCAAGCAGTTAATGAGCTTCCTTAGATGTATTAGCAAGACATTTCAAAAAAAAAAGAAAAGAAAAAAATCAGTTATGCACATCAGGAATCCACAGACTGAACTGGATACACAGCTTTTAAGTACTATGGACTAGCAGAGAATAAGAACCAGCAAAAATAAGTGTCAAGAGAAAACCTAGAGAATACACAGTAAAACTTGAGCAATCTTGCAATACTGGAAAGGACAAATACCAGAGTGTTCGCAAATACTATAGGGTTCTGCTGCTGTCTTAAACCTTTGTGATGCATGGAATTGTCTGAGGATGAGACAACCTGGAGTACCCACTTGTTTCCCAGGCTGTGACTCTTCCTATGCCTTGGTACAGGAGGTGTAGGTAGACTTGCTGCTACTGAGGCATCAGGACACGTGGGTCTTTTTGAATTTCATAATAGCTGACATGTCAGATGGACCTAAAAGACAGAGACTATTTAACACTGAACAGATACAAACCTCAGAAATTTCATGTGCTGGTGTTTTGCCACTGTGTGTTTAAAATGAATTGTTACAACCAAAAGGCACCATTTCTGAAGATTTGTTTCTTGTGCATTAGGGTTACACCATCAATTTCTGTTATTAACTCATCCCTATATTCTTGAACTGCCTGGAAGTAATTTTGAAAACAGCTTTGTCCATACTCTTAACAATGAACTCCTACAAAAGGTCTTGGCACTATTACAAGACCTGGATTCACCAAAGTATAAATTGCAGAGCCGTAAAGCCAGTCTGTACTTTGGGTGTGACCAGGAATGCTCACACATGTTTTGAATTTTGTTCACAACTCCATGTTGTGAATAAACTGCAAACAATCTGCTCATACTGACTCACAGCTTGAGCATCTAAGAGAAAGCAGAAGCTTTTCATGTATCTAATGGCTAGACAGATTACTTCTCAACCATCTAGGAGCTCTAGAAATGTCTCACTGCAATTATTCTTCCTTTCATTTCACAGATTTTATAAGGCCCCACAGAAAACATGGACAAGCTTCTATTTTTATTCCCCCATAGCCCAGACCCAGGAATTTCACTACAAACCAGGTCATTACAAGAAGAATTGCAAAGGTTTTCTCCCTAAAAGTAACAGGAAAAAATCTCATGCATACAGTGTTCTGCACATTTCAGCAAATCATTAATTATGCTGTTTAATTAACCATGAAAGGAGCCTCAAAACAAGCATAATAGAGGGAACTGCCTCTAGCAATACAAAAAGGGGAAATTAGTTTGTTAGAGGAACCTTCAGTAATATCATTCAACAGATCATCAATTTAGTGGGAGAACAGAAAGAGGAAAGAGTTTATAAGCTTGTTTTCTACCTTACCACCATATACCGTCTTATATAGGACAGCATTTTTGCTTGCCTATCTTTGAAACCACCACACAGTTCAGAATTTGTGAAATATAACAGCATATGTCACTGGCATATGTAGCTTCAAAGAAGGTGTTATGCTTAAAGGCCACATGCAGTTCTAAAAAAAATAAATAAATTTGCTTTTAATCATTACTTGATCCAGAGATTCAATGAGAATTTTATGCCTGGGAGATCAGAAGAGGGCTGAGGACAATGTTCTGCTGCATTTTCAGTTAACATTTTTTGCGTTTGGGCTGTAAGACAGCACTGGAAGCTTATTCTCTGAAAACAATAGGGTTCATCTTCCTCTTCTGCCATGGAGGCTAAGTGCAAGTTAGAATCTAGAAAGTATGAATCCAAGGACAATCAGGTGGTGACTAGTTCAGTGTAAAAACCATTTGAATTCATATTTCACCATTAGGTCTGAAAATCTTGTCTATTGCATTGCCAGCAAGAACATGTATTTCACGAAAGTCTTTTACCGCAAAATTTCACTACAAATTCTTTAGATTTAAGCAAACACAAACCAAATGCATTCAGAAGTTTCAGAAATGATTAGAAGTTCTTTTATTTGAAAACCTTCAGCCCTTCTGATGAACCAGGTTCACAAAAAGGAGTTTTCTATATAGTTTGTTTGTAGTGCCTTTCCATCAGGTATTCCAACTTGTGAACAGTTGTTTACTACCTGCTAAGAAACTTAGAATCATAGAATCCTTTAGGTTGGAAGGGACCTCCAAGATCATCAAGTCCAACCATTGAGCCATTAGGGCTCTAAAGTCCTCTGCTAAAACAGATCAGAATCTGTCAGGGTTGGAAGGGACCACAAGGGTCACTCAGTTCCAACCCCTCTGCCATGAGCAGGGACACCTCCCACTAGACCAGGCTATCTAGAGCCTCATCCAGCCTGGCCTTAAAGACCCCCAGGGATGGGGCCTCAACCACCTCCCTGGGCAACCCATTCCAGGGTCTTAAAATATATTGTAACTGAGACCCAGTATGAAGACAGTGGCAGCTGAAAGAGAATCTTCCTGAAAATTATGAGCACGTATCAACAAGAGTTTAGTCTGAAACTCAGCATTAACTTTGGTGTTAATGTGGCCACTGGAGCTACCATCACACCTTGTAATGCATGAAGTCACTACTTGTCCTCAATTTGGCTGCAGGATAGGATCGGTTTTCTATTGCTTCCTGTTGTGTCATTTATCACCCCCTCTCTGGTCCCAGTTCTAAATCCTGATTTACACTAAACTGTTTTAGGTGGATGACATAGTTCACTGAGAGCTACTGAAGCATTCCATTTATCAAACTGCTGAAACTGCATCCTGTGAAAGAATACCTATCCCAAGGCACAGCCCTAAATGAGTACCACTACGCTGCAATGCTTTTTTCACCCAGGCACTATTCCACATGTCAAAATAACTGTTAAATTTTCTAATATGTACAAGTTTAAAGTTTTAAGTTTCTCACTGTGGAGAGTCATGGAGCTGAAAGCAATAAGACTGTTTTATTAATTTGATTCTAAGACAATGTTCACTGAAACCAAGCACGGGGACTGCACCAAAGCTACTTTCTCTAGAGAAAGAACAGCAAAACAACAGGTCTTGTCCTGACACCATTAAGCCATCAAAATTAGCTGGATTTGACTCCAGGTATTTTAAAGTATTTATAGGTTCAAATGTTATCACTATCAAAACCTACAAAAAATAAGAGATGTTGTCTACTAATAACAATGGTTCTTTGAGTTTTCACTCTACACTCCCTTCTTTTTCGAAATTAGGCCCCCATTTAGGAAGCACAGAGTGAAATTTGCACTAATATGAACACAACACAAAAATATCTAAATATTGATCATTTTAACTGGGTCTTAGCAGGAGCTTTTATTATCTGGACAGCTTGAGAAGATAAAAAGTTAAAAAAGAAACAAATGATCTAACATGTTACATTACATCTATTACAGTAAAAGGACCGCATATCTCAGATTGAAAACAAGATTACAGAATCAGACTTTATTTCAGGTTAAAATACTGGCTGGCTGAGAAGTGTCAAGGGTGATATAATTTGTGGAAGCAGGAACAGGAACTTTAAAACTTAAGCAAGCAGCTCTAGCCTGGCTTCCTTGCTGTTACACATGGAATCACAATTGCTTTCATCACTCCTGTGAAAGGAAGTAATGAGCTTACACTATTTCCTAGTTAGGTGTCTTTAGTGAAGATCCTGATGACAGAAAACAGAATGCTTTGTGGTATAAGATGAAGACAGAAGTATCATCTATGCTGGTATTACAACATCTGGAGTGACCATTTGCTACGTAGTTCTGCACTATCCTCATCTGCAAGGCAAGAGAAGGAAATATATACAGTCTGGCTTGGTTAACCCTGCTAAGGTAAAAATCCTGATCTTAAACATCTTCATAAAGTCTGCATCTGCTATGCTGTCTAATGTCTGTGAAGAAAAACTGTGAATTTCAGAGTTCTTTTTAGACAGAACCTGTACTGCATACACTCAGTTCAGCAAGAAGTCTGGGGTGCAGATGATGTCAGCATGAGTTATGGGGCACAGAGGAGATGACCTCATTTCTGTAAAGGGGTAAGAGGCAAGAAAGCCTGTGCCAAGAAGGATGCCAAAGAGGGTAAGTGGTGAGATACTGATGAAAACTGCAAAGACCAAGGGATGTTTATAGACATACCAGACTGCTGAGCAATTAGCTGGGAAAACTATGCCTGATACTACTGATAACAAAACTCCAATATTTAAATTCATTTGAGATGGAGTTATTTTGCTCCTTTTTTTCCAATAAGTGAAGTCATCTGCTACTGCTAACTCTCCCCTTTACTCTCCTGGCTCCACTCCTAGTGCATACTGTTACCATGATTGCTGTTCTGTTATTTTGCCTTTCATGGAGACAAAGCACTCTTAGTAGGATTTTCCAGTCAGCTGGCATGAACAAGGGTTAGTTTGGTTTTCATTATTTCTCAGCATCATTTTCAAGACTATGCTGACATACACAAAAATAATGTATAAAAATATTAAAACATTATTAAAAATTTGTTTGCATTAGGGAACGTGAGACAGCCTCATCAGAGTGAGCTGAGTGCTGTTCAGAAACTGTGGCAAGAACATTTGGAAAAGTTTACACATATCCCAAAGGATCTCACTGTTTTTTCCTTTGCATAATTTTTCCATGAATAATCCTTCAAACGTTATAAATGAATGTTACTTTTGCAATCCTTCAGTAGAACATGTGAACATTTACAGTCTCCAGAGCTTTTAAAAAAAGCAACAGGGTGAAGGAATTACAGTTCATAATTTTTCTCCACTAAAAAACTGTCAATAAACCAATACTATGCATCCAAACAGAAAACTGAAAATGAGCTGCATATTATATGATGAAAAACAAGGTGACTTTTCAGGAAGGTAAAACAGTCTCAACTACTTACTATTTTTTGGTGAGCAGCTATGAAGCAAAACTGATACTTACGAGCTCTGTTTCTAAAACTTAATAAAGCCATTCCAAGCCACAGACTCTCTAGTTAAATCTGTGCTGTAAATTTTTACTGCTCTGTTGCCATTGTAACCAAAGTCAGTGGGTGATAATTAAAACTTCCAAATAGAAAGACCTACTTACAAAACACATAATAAAGAACTTAAGAAGAATTTTGTGTACAGAATCAAGACTGATGCAAAAAAAAAAAACCTAGAATGATGGCTATTGTAAAAGCATAGTTTTAATTTTTGGAGTATTGCTTTACAATTAAACTAAAGTTATTAAGGCATATAACATGCAAGAGACTTGTACATTATGGCTGCTTCCCATACAAGAGCAAACTAAGAACAAGAATTAGAGTCTCTGGATGCACCTCTTTGTGCCTCTTGATCATCCCTGGAAAAAAAAAAATAAAATAAAGGTTAAAAAAAAAAAAAAAAAAAAAAAAAAAGAAGTGTGTTTTGGTCGGATGAATTGAAGTCTGACTGCTCTCTTTGAAAACAGTATGCAAAAAAGGCATGTTCCTGAAGAGGTCAGAAAGATAATTTTGGTTACTGAATATACTCTTTTCTTCAAAAGGGC